CTCCTTTCTAGGTGGACTTTGCTGACATAACGCTAGAAGGAGAAGGTGGTCTGCAGGTCACAACACAGCTTACATCACAAAGAAATCCAAAACCAACCACTGAGTTTCAAACCTACGTGTTCCGCCTCCACGAGCATCCGTCGTTTGGCTGGGAGCCACGCTTAACTGGCTATGACTTCCAGAGACTTCTATCAAACCTCAAGTCGTTRAAGATACGCGTTAATTACGCGGATCAGGGCACTGGAATGTTAGACGACGTATTTTTTGAGTCAACCGTTTACGACCCAACATCTCTGCGTCAGGTGAACTGGGTTGAGCAATGCAGTTGTCCACCACAGTACCGTGGGAATCATTGTGAACGCTGTAGCGAAGGTTATACGCGTGAATTCGGCGTAGAGAACCGATACGGAATGTAAGTATTGTCTTAGAAAGATAAAGCATTAGGCGTTGTAAACTATGATGCTATTTGTCTCACTTTCTTTGCTCTGATTGGCCCATACCGTGCAATTCATTTCAGCCATCAGATTAGTGACTGAGTTTTTTTCGCTCTGGTTTCTCGGCGAAACCAAGAGAAGCGTAGACTCTGGAGCGATATAAAGCTAGACAATAACACTGTTGGCTGTGCGCGCTACGTACGATTCTCTCTAGCTCTTGTCCAACTTATGAAAAACACAGTAGAAGTAGTTAATTTGTAACTTTCTCTGATTACACTTGCCTTGGTATTAATTATTTTCTATATCACAAAACTTTGCATTTTATTAATTTACCAATACCTTTCATCCTCAGCTGTCTCCCATGCCAGTGTCACGGCCACTCCCAACTGCCATGTGACCCCGTGACTGGAAAATGTATCTGTATACATAACACTGCAGGCGCAAAGTGTGACGTATGCATAGATGGTTACTATGGTAACCCTACCCAGGGTACCCCTCAAGACTGTAAGCGGTGTCCGTGYAAGTTTGGTAATCGTTGTATTMAGGTGCAGGATAGTGTCGTTTGTACCGATTGTCCTCCAGGTCACTCGGGGAACTTGTGCGACAGGTAATGAATATTATATAGTCTCTTGTTTCATTTTGTCATTTTGTCATATTGATATAGCAATTTGCTAGCGATTGATGGAGAGTTTGTTGACCTGTACTAAAGGCTACTGCGCATGGGACATAAACACACCCAGTTTTTGATTGGTGAATTAATAATGAATACCAAGCAGTAACTTTTGGTCGTGCGCTCTCCACTCTTTCCAACAATATTGCTGTCGTTTTCTTGCTCTGATATGCCAGATAACCTCATAGTTTCTTGTGAATGAGAGTGTTCTCGTGTTTTCACCTTCACGTAATGTCTTTAGGTGTCAAGACGGTTACTATGGCGACCCCATGGGTTTAAAAGGCGTCCCAATTGGTTGTCGAAAGTGTAACTGTAGCGGTAACATCGATCCTAACGCAATTGGCTCGTGCGACCCCCAGACAGGCGACTGCCTTAAGTGTATCTATAACACACGTAACGGTCCGTTCAACCAGTGCGAGTTGTGCGCTGTAGGATATTACGGAAACGCAACGCACTACCCGAAACCGCAGTGCGAAGGTAAGATCCTAACAGAGTGATTCTTTGAACTTTGTCATCTAAAATGTGCTCTGTTGATGTTGTTGCAATTGTTCGACATCTTATTACTCGAGTAAATCAAACGCACCATGTTGTGATTGACAAGGACTACTTTTTTGTTATAGAAAAAAAGACTTATCCCTATATTGTTTCGCTCTCTTTTCAGCTTGTGAATGTTATGCCCAGGGCACTGTATCACCTCCTGGTCACGATCCAACAGTTCCATTCCCTTGTGACGCGCAAGGCCGCTGTACGTGYCTWCCAAATGTCGTKGGCGACAAATGTGACAGCTGTATCCCAGAGTATTGGAACGTGGGCTCAGGACGAGGATGCGAGCGGTGTACATGTGACCCAACTGGTTCCTATAACAACACWTGTGACGTAAGGACCGGGCAGTGCGCTTGTAAGCCTGGCGTGACTGGTCGGCAGTGTGACCGATGTGAAATCGATCATTACGCGTTTTCTGATTCGGGATGTCTACGTAAGTAAAATGATTTGGGATTCCTGTGGTGGATTGTAGGAACAGTCTTTGATCTTCAGTTTTCTATTAAAGCTGCATCATCGTCATCTGTTATCATCTTTAATTGACAGCATCATCATTACAATATCGCTATTGCTACCAACATTATTACAGCAAGTTCCATTACATCAGTAATTGTTATAATATTCTCCTCATTTCTATGTACACAGCCTGTAATTGCAACCCCCAAGGTTCTCTGAACGTCACGTGCAACGAACAGGGGATCTGCGAGTGTCGTCCTGGWGTACTGGGCATTAAGTGTGACTCGTGCAGGGAGAACTATCAYAACCTSACGGCTGGGTGTATAGGTTAGTAYTACAGCAGTTTCTGACTGCTGCTTATTCTCCTGTGACAGTCTATTACACTTCGGTAAATCCGTACACCCCTTAAAGCCTGTACATAAGACACGTTCTCAAAAACAGGAGAAACAAAGTTTGATATGTAAAGTAGTGTAATATACACCGAAAAGACAACAAAACCTCGTTTTACAATAAAGATAATTAAATTGAAGTACATGTATTTCAAAGGTTTCAACAGCCAAATACCTGTAAAATTTGTTTTATTTATCATAATTGCCGTGTTTCTCTGTACTATTCTGTCTATTATATTCTAATCTTGATTCCAGAGAGTAATGATCATTGTTATTCGGTTTTATTTTGCAGCCTGTCCACCATGCTACGATGAAATTCAAAAACTTGTACAAGGCTTACGAACCAAGCTGCATGAACTCATCTACATTATCGATCGATTCAACACAACTGATCGTAAARTTATCGACGTGGACTTTGAAGATCGTCTCAAGGATATCACTTCTCGTGTCAATAAACTCCTAAARCAGGCYGAGGAGGCCAATAGCACTGACAAACACCTGCAGAACGAAATTACTATGATTGGTAAGTTTAATGTTGTATTTCTTTCTAGGGAGAGAATGTCAAATCCTCATGTATGAAGCGTCTTCTCACCAATGTGGGATTAAAAATATGAACGATAAATTGCATTAATTTGCGCATGCTCAGATCGATAATATCTCAAAATGTGCTAAAACCGCGAACATTTTCTTAATAATAATCTTGTTGATATCGATGTTATGTTTACGGAACTTGATATCGTGAATAGTCGCCAATGAAAGCACTTTGTTTTTAGTAGTTATGAAGAATCAGTGAATCTTGTTTCTGAAACAGTCACTCCTCTCTTCTCGGTTTACGTATGTGATTGACTGTCATTAATATTTTCATTGATAGATAAACAGGTTAATGACACAAGGCAGAGGTTAATTGACGTCTGGCAAAACTCGACCGATGCATACTCGATAGCAGAACAAGGTCTTGGCAATATTAGCCATGCAGAGTCATCATTAAACGTTTCAAGGCATCTTTTGGATCTCATTAATAAACTGTTAATGGAGGAAGGGTCAAAGGCGTTGAATGAATCTGTCAGTAATGCCAACAATACGGATGCTAATAACAAAAGAATGAGAGAAATATTGGAAAAGGTAAATCTGTTCTTATCACATTCTTTCTTGTCATTTTATTCATTTATCTAATACAAATCGCTTCCTTCCCTTCCCTTTGCTTTCACTCATCTTTTCTTTCTTTCCATCCGTCCTATCTTTCCTTCTTAATTGCACCTTCAATAAGCCGTTCTTCTTTTCCCTGATGGTTTTTATTACAATTTGTTTCCAAAGACCAAGAAGCTTGCTGACAAACACGAAGCTCACGCTGACGAGATAACAACAAAGTCCATCGAGGCAGCAAATGCATCTGAACACGTGGTCAAAACCGTCGATGAAGCTGTGAATGTCCAGAACCAAACAACAGTTGACATTGAAGATCTTTACCGAAGACTCGACGAAACCGAGGAATTGCAGGTGGGTTGGTGAGGGAGATATATTGTATGCTTTGATGCGCGGTACTTGGTCCTAAAGCGCTATGGATCCCCGCTTGGAAAGTCGGATATTTTGCTTTASAATGAAAAGTTTCTAAAATGATATTTTTCTTGTCAGGAAATGGCCGAGGCGAACGCTACGGAGGCGCATCGAAGGTCGAGTGACGCACTGTCAGTAGCCACTGAACTATACAACAATGGGACATCGCCATTACCAGAGCTAAACATCACGACGCTAGAAGGTATTACCAAGCGGTGTTTCTGTTGTTCTCTGGTTGTTTTTGTTCTTTTACTGTCGKTTGTCTTTCTGCTGYTGTTGTTGWTGAGACACCTSACTACATCTTTCAAAARMAGCAWCAGTGATTGTATTTYATTTSGACACAGAAAAAGCCAATATGTCTAAATCTGACGCTCAAATCTTCAAAATGAAATCCGACAAAATGATCGAGGATCTGAAAGGCCTGGTGTCGAGTTTTAATGGCAAAGAAGATGATGTACGAAAGAAGATGGCTGAATGGCCTGGTCTTTTGGCTCAACTAAAGCAGTTATTGACTGATATCGAGAATGCTAATRCCACGGCTTGGGAGGCATTCKTAAATGGAGAAAATACATTGAAAAAAGCCAAAGAAATGAAAGAAATATTAGAGGTACGTACAGGAATCGTTTTAAAGCACTTTGATAATAAGTGAAAATGAAAATATGTTCACGAGAAATTATAAATAAAATTACAAAAGGAAATCAAAACATAAAAACAAAGAACTTTACTAGTATTTGTTCGATCAACATTTATTCGATCCAGTTATTATTTATTTATTCATTTACTGAGATTTTTAAACTTTGCAAAAAAATCATCGAGCTGCTCCGACAAAAATAAACTTCAAATAAAATACTTCTTTCAAGTATGGCACTACGCATGTGCTAGCTGACGCCGCTTTGAAAAAACCCGCTGGCCGGATATCGTGCAGKCTCTTACTTGTTTTCCCTCCCACATGTTTCAGCGGGTCGATTTGATACTGGTCCACATTGGCTTATCGTTGTGTTTTTAAGACCGTACTTTTTAGGATCATTTCTATAGTACGCGTCCCGTCTTTGTTACCCAACAAAGGCAACCTCGACAGCCACGGTGATGAACCAGAGCGATCTCTTCTGAGCGGGAAGCGTGTCTTGGATTTTGCCTTCATTGGCAATTTATCCTTGACAATTGATGACCGTTCCTTACCCTTACTTGTTGGGGGTTTGGAGGAAGAGATCGTATTCAGAGTGGTTGTCTTTTTAAAATAGCGAAAAAAATATATAAAGCGAAGGCGAAGAGAAATAGATGTACAGTAATCCTCAAGATGTTTTTTCGAAAGCTTAAAAAATTGTAACCATTGAAAAAAATTTTCGCTTTTATTTCAAGGGCTGTATAAACGAGGAAAACATCACATTTACTACGTACGGCTGTCTATCGATATTTTAAACAGCGAACATTTGAATTGGTTTCAGTTCTTTTAAAGCGCCGGATATATTTTGAGAAGCGTGTTATTTGATTTCTGTTTTCGGTAGATATTGTAAATTAGATTTCATGTTATTCTTGACAGTAAGAACTCTGTCGAACCGAGTAAAAGTAAACATTGAACATCGGCTGGCTTTATGATTTGCTTTGAATGTGTCGAAACACGTCTCTATGAATTAATGACCTCAGTGTGTCACGAAATACCTGCTATTAAAAACAGCGTGACATCCGTACGTCACGCAATGACGGTGTTCTGAAACTCTTCTTTTTAAATCAACGACTTGTTCCTTTTTTCTTATTACATTTAAGGAGATATATATATAAAGTAATGCTTAATATGTAATTTACGGACATTTCAAGTTTTTTTTATTATTATTGTTATTTTTTTCTTTACAGAAATTCAATTCAATCATTGAAAAGTCGAGGAAAGATGCTCAGATGGCAGAAGCAAACATACCAGAGATCGAGAGACTTATAAAATCAGCCAATGACAAGTCTGACAACGCAACTAATAGCTTGGGAGATGCTCAGCAATTGGCCAGTGAGGCAAAGGACAAAGCGAACGACGCCCAGGGTATMGCACAAGACGCACAAGAGGTACAGCCGTTTTAATTAATTAAAAACCTTGTTGCTAAAATTATGGTGCAATACTCCATCACCTAATAATAGAAGTATATTTATAATACATCTACGCAATGAACAACTTGTATCTGGAAATTTCTTTTGATTTATTGCTTTTTTTGTTGTTATACAGAAAGCTTCAAAAATAAGAAATGAAGCAGAAAATCTTGCTTTACCAGAGGACACAGTGAGTGAACCTGCCAAGAAAGCAGCCGCAAAAGTCGTTGTTCTTAAAGAAAAAGCCATGAAAGACAAAGACGCCATTGCATCCGCCAAAGAACAAGCTAACAACGCAACTGCCGAGGCGAAGAAAGCGCGCGCAAAGATTGAAGAAGTTCTCAAGAAATTACTAGCATTGCTCAAAGCGATTGATAGTCTAGACTCTGTGAACGTCACCCAGCTAAACAAACTAGAGGACAAACTCCAAGACGAGCTTAATGGACTACGAGCCATAGACGTTTCGGTGAACAACGTGGAAACGACACAGACTATCATACGCGAAAGCATCGAAAAATACACKGTCGAYATCAAGCGAYTGGAGAAAGAGATGGACATCATGAAGTCAGTTCTCGATGCGCTACCCAGAGACTGCAARAAGAAAACTTCTGTGATAGAAGGGCARGGTTAATGTTACCATGACAATTACCAATACATGATGACGTCATTAACTAATGTTACCATGGTAACTTCAAAATACATATTGACGTCAGTAATGACTTAATGAGGGAGGGCGCTTTGGTTGTACATTATATTGTTTTCTTGCTTTCTAAGAATATGTACAATACCATGTTGTCCAGACATAAGATAAGCAATAATTTGAGACATTTTTGGACATGCCTTTTTATGGACACATTTTTCACTTCCAGTTGCTCAAACAGGAAGTTTTAAAAGCCATTTTTTTACACTGAGAAAAGTATTTGTATATTGTAAGCGAGTGCATGGCATTTATCTGGGAAAACAATGTTGTCMGTACACTGTTAACCGGCTGGGATTTCACCCAATGTGTTTTCTTGGATTTATGACATTCAAACAAACATATTCTATAAATGGCTTGTAATAAGAATTCAGGGTTAAAACATTGCATCTAGCAAGGAAACTCCCAAAGAAATTCAGACTTACTAACCTAGTTTATTACAAAAATGTATGTGGAAAGGACATTGAAACTGTTTTCTCATTAAATTTAGGGTAATTTGATAGTATTATATAGTTAAATCAAATAGCAAAAATTTAGATGTTTTTGTTGCTTCAACGGTTTTCTGTTTTAGGAACCAAATTTCAAAAAAATGCAAGTAATAAATAAAGTTATATTTGTATCTTGGACTCATGTTATTCCAAAGTAAGCAATGTGAGTAGTTGAGGCCTAGGAAGAAGGGTAATAATGGTCTTTCTTTCATGATCAGAAGAATTAATAGTCATTGTTTTTGAGTAGACAAGTGCATTGTCAGTCAAAGCATCCTTGGGACACTTGTTCCTTTCCTTGGAAAACATAGCTAAATCTTCAAACAAAAAACACTAGAACAAACACTAGAACACAACATTGTATTTGATACCAACAGCAACACAAACTGAACATTCAGGGTAAATATATATCCTTCATCGTAATAATCCCTTGATATAACAATTGAATGGGATATACACCCATATTCTATGTACACCATTTCCCAGTGGTAAGCTGGGTTGTCCAAGGGTGTGGCGTGTACCTTGTTTGGACCACCTATGTAAACTAGGATGAAATACTTTGTTGTGAAGGCAATGAACCAGTGAAATCGATATTGTCTTAATACAACTTAGTTGTCAAATAATTGTTATTGTTACCAATTTGATCATCTTTTAAGAGCACAGGCCAGACATCTGCACAATTTAGTAGAAGTTACTTTTCTGAATCAGTACAGCACAAACAACAATGGTAATATAACTGGGACAAGATGGCAACAGTAAAAACTTCAGTCAAAACACAGAGGTCCAAAGGCCCAGGTACAAGCCACACCGAAGACATAAACAAATTCACTGTGCAATAATTGCCATATAATTGATCCTTGCTAATTGCCTAATACTCCCAGAAATAATATACACTAATTTCAAGAAAACTTGACTTCTGATAATGTGATTTTTGATCAAAATATAAATTCCTCACTCAAATCTGAACAAAGTCAATGAGAATTTACTTTCTGATCAATTGTTCATGACAAGATGTCAAATGATTCCTGAAGACTACTGAAGTGAAGTATTGACAATGGTGTCTACTGTTACTGCTATATATTTTCCAGTGCATAATATTTGTGGTCATTGACATCCCCAGTGCCTGTCACATAATGACAYCTTTAGAAGGATTAAGCGCAGGCTATAGTCATACTTACCGACACTGGTGAAAAACGCACTGCGCATGTCCACAGCTTTCCCACTGAAATCTGCCTAATTTCCTTTGTAAAGCGATTTTTGTGAAAGTTTTTTACAATTTATAAGCTCGTTCACCGATATATAAGATTCATATTTCCATCAATCTTTGTTCATGATAGGTCCTTTTAGTATGTAGTTTCTATTTTTATCTTGTCATTTCTATTTTGAGAAAATGAGGTTTTTTGTAGTGTTTTCTGTGTTGTCGCTGTAAATCGCCAGGCGTGCCATGCGCTCTGTTTACAGATTTCAAGACGCGAGCGCCCACTGGCGGGAAAGCTGTGGGCATGCGCAGTGCGTTTTTCACCAGTGTCATACTTACCTTAGACTGGAAACTAACCATCAATAACCACTATTGATATCAATAAATTAACAAACTGAACATAGCCCCTATGCGAGCCATTGGACAGCTATTTGATTAAAATATAAATTCTCCTGCAATAACCATTCATTGCMAAGGAGAATTTAGATGTTAATCAGTGCATTGAACCTTTAAATATWCTATCATCTACTTCTAAAAACTCCAAATGAATTAAAAACCCCATCTCTTCTAGCTCCTCTATGTATTCTATCTCTYCTAACTCTTCTATCTATTCTAACCACCATGTAAAAAAATAACCTCCCAAGAATACGAAAAATAAATCCAGTTTTACAAGACAGTCTTTAAAGAGTCAAGTAAATGTTGTCGAACTTTGCCTCTTCATGGATATTATGGATTGCTTATAAATTTTATGAGTTAGTTTCTACAGAACTTGCTCTTGTATTAACATATTTCCATACCCAGGCTCAGCTACCATGAAGAAAGCTTTGGACTTTAGCATAGGTCTTTCTTTTATGCTTGCTGTATCTTGTTGCCTCAGTTCAATGCTTTGTTCATGGYTATTTTGGTATGGGATATGATAAATGAACAAGGTTTAGTCCCTTCAGCGCACACCACACATTAAAGACACTATCTTAACTCTATTGTCAGTTAACAGCTAGTAAAAAACCATAAAGAACAGATGTTGAACTAGCTTTATACCCAAGCAGAAGCTTTTCAAAGCTTTGATTCTACTTTTTCCTGATTTTATTCTACTGAAATTCCCATAAGCACTATCACCTCAAGAGCTGTTGTGCTCAGGTGCTAAAAAATTGCAGTTTATGGCAGTCTTTTAACTACATTACACTATTATTCCTGTCTTGTTCTTTCCCAGRTATTATAACCCCAAAACTACTTGGGCAAGAAACAGATTAGAAATATACAAATTCTCATTTCAAATGCCAATAGTAATGTTAATAGAATTTAGACTTTAGACACCACTATTCACTGTCACATATTTTAAATTCTTAGTGGGGTTCATTTGAACTGAGAATAAAATCTCTAATAACTCATACCTTTTTTTACTGAGAAATGTTTTATATCATATCATAAAATGGATGCATGCAAAAAAAATGATAGAAAATTCCCATCTTTTTACGAAAAAAAAAAACAATATCAAAATATACCCCTTGCAATAATTTTGGTGACGTGATATGAGATATATTGCTCACTACAGTACGTATATGACACAAGATTATTAACCCCATTTATAAAATATTGTATATAAGCCCCATTAAACAGTCTAGCCTTCTATAGTAAAATGGTCTAGGAATGAAATAATTAAYAATATATCCTTTAGAGAATTAATTCATTAATAACTAATTAATAATTATCAACAAGCCCCACTAGATGAGTTATTCCGCTGGTTTGGTAGTAGTACTATGCCTGGACGATGTAGGTGAACTGTGTCCACTCCTRTTACCATTAGCGTCCTGGTCACTACCAACAGCTTCTTGATCACTGAACARTGGGTTGACTACAGTCATGTCACCCGTCTGTTGAAGAATCARAGAATACCATRTGAAATAAATGGGAAGAATGGATT